CCCCAAAACCCCAAAACCCCAAAACCCCAAAACCCCAAAACCCCAGATTTGGTTTAAAGTGCTGAATATTTCTACAATTTTATAAGCTATTTCCTACTCAGGATGAAACATCCAATGAAGCATGCTCACCCTGCAATGATGGAGTAAACATCTGGTATGTCATATTTCTCTAAATGGGAAAATTAATGGCGTACCTTCGTATAGGTAATATCCGATCGTGCAAGCGATTATTGGCTGTAACAGGTAGGAATAATAGATCTATAGAGTTAAATTAACCAAGAATATTTACTTTATCCTCTGGAAGGAATTTCTCTCCTTTCACAATTTGGAAGACTTTGGTACCTAACCCTCATAAAATTCCGAGGATGAGGAATCCAAGGATTAATGAGATTGAATCTGCTGGATAAACTGCCCAACCTCAAATTGATTTCAACTTATATTCAGAGTCATCAAAGAAGATCAAGGTGACTATTGTCATAAAAGCTGCTGCTGAAAGGTACATTACTGTGAAGAATTCAATGATCTTATAAATCTGTCTCATCGAGTAGTAAATGAATATCCATTGAAATATGATCCCAAAGAAAGCACTTCCAAATGCGATAGCATCACCAATAAGATAACTTTTGTGTTCCTCATGTCCTTCAGGATTGAGAATCCTGGCAAGGATTAAGATCAAAATTCCTACATAAAACAAAATTGTTCCGTATTTCTCGTTCTGGGAGACATGACGGGATCTGACATATTCAGTAGGTTGGAATACCTTCTCTTCCCTTGATTTGTTATCAGTCACGCTCATATGGGATTCAATGTTACTAATCTGGTTTAAATGAGCATTATTTTGAGAAGGTTGTCTACAAATAGTCAATCCCAACACAATGATTAACCCGCTTAAGATTGGAGGAAAAGCATACCCTAATAAGTATGAATTAAAAGGAGAGCTTATCTCTGCAGCATACATCACTCCTGTAGACCAGATTGCTAATGCAACTCCTGAAATTGTAGCGTGCAGTGTCAATTTCGTAAAGAATCCATTTTGGAAAAATATATCCATTCAAAAGATTTTTCTAAAAAGAGCAAATATCAAAAAGCAGAGGGCTGCTCATTGAAGCCGCCATCAGTTAAGTACTACAGGGAAATTTTCATCGTTCTGCTCTTCGAAATAAATCTTTTTGGCTAAATAGTTTGGGACCACAACAATTCAGGAATTGCAAATTGTTGAAAATAGCAAACAAAATACTTTAAAGGCAATTGTAAGAGGAGTGACTACAGCTGCATCTTCCTTCTCTTTACTCATCATGAATGACTTGTTCAGGGAGGAATGAGGATCATCAAAATATCTTTCTATTATAGCCTCGTGGGCTTGACTTGACATGACTCTACTCATAGGAAAGAGGTAGCCAGACTGAGGTCTAACAAGACCTCTCTTTCTACCTGGGCTTATCCTTCCTGGGGATTTATACTCCTCTGGAACCAAATCATTCATCTCAACTTCACTATGATAATCATCCGACTTGACAAGGTCGAAAAAGTCGTCTTTTTTTTCCATGTTAATTCCTCAATAATTTATAGCAAAATCGGGGTTTTGGGGTTTTGGGGTTTTGGGGG